GGGCACCGTGTCATGTTTCACGCGAAATTGAGGGAAGAATCCTCTTTTTCGAAAATTGAGATGTCCCAACACATTTCTCGAGTAAAACCAGTAATCTTCAACATACATTGCTTCGTATTGAAATACTTACGAAATTCGACGAACTATCTCCTGTCCGCATTGAGATTACAAGATCGATTCTTTACTGACTGGACTGACGATCGTTAACACTGCAACTTTTTTAATTGCGAAGCGAAGTATGAAGCGCTACATGTTTTATCCGCAAGAGTTCGAGCTCGGAGATTGAAAGTACCCTGAGAAGTTTCGCTCTGCTCGCGAACTGTCGTGAGTCAAGAAAAGTTCTCAGACGTTTCTGTCATAGACAGAATATTCCTAAGGCTCGACGGAAGAGAACCGAGGAAAAATTGAACAGAACCAGAAAAATGGAATAAATAAGTAAATTGGTGATCACTCGATCGGCGATGGTTAAACGATATTGTCGGACTTTCGCTCGGTAGCGCGCGAGCTCGAAAGCTCTCTTTGGCTCTTTTTCGAGTCGGTCGAGCATTCGCGAGCCTTCTTACCTTCAGGGTCTATTTACTTGGCCACGAACGCGGCAAAGCCATCGATTGTTGGCCGACCGACGACGGCGTTTGGATCGCTGGAAGGTTTGATAAGCAGACGACGGAGCACGTCAAAGGCGGTGACGGAGCGTGACTTCCCTTTGAGTCTGGGGGACAGTCAAGAAGTGTGCACACGTGCAGCGTCTTCTGAGGTTCACCGACTCTGGATACGTTACGCGAGTTCAAAAGAATCCACAGTCTCGAATCTGACGACTCTTTAAGATTCATAGGGTATCGCACAAACAGATTTTTCTTTCGATATTAAGTAGTTCTTGCGTTTTTCAATTTCAACAGACTGTGTATGGAAGTTTCATTGCCTCTACGTTGGAATCGATCATGTTTAAGCTTGATAATAATTCTATCATTTCTGAAGTGCAAACCGTCGAACGGGTCGATTAAAATATACAACCCTTCCGAGCGTCATTACCCTTTGCAAATTGCTAGTTGGACAGTCTGTAAATGTTTAACGTACAAATATTACTTGCAGTCGAAATTACTCGTAAGCGCTTTATTAACTTTGCTTTAATTCATCAACGAGCACCGAGATATCTTTTCACTTTTGATTTTCCCTAAACATTTACAACCGCATGCTCGTATTAATCGCAGGAAACGCGTACGATGGTATATGATTCATACTCGCAGAGTTACCTGCGACTGTAAATCCAATAAACCGGCAAGTAACGTTCAACCGAGTGAATCACGGTTGCCGTCAATTTATTTTGCCATAGAGAAATGCTTTTCACACAGGGTTGAAACGGTTTAGGCGGGTTTCAGGACTGAAGCGCGGTCGGAGAAGAATCCGTGGTAAAGTTAGCTTTACTCGTCAGACGCAGAAGGTAGTATGAGACGGACGTGTTTAAAAATTGCGATGCCTGAGAACACCGGAGCTTGGTTTCGCTTATTACGTCCACGTCCAGCTGTGACCTGATTTATAAACTTTTTATGGCCTCGTTTATTTTCTACCCGGGAATCAGACCTTTCCTGTTTCCCTCGTCTTTCGTTCTTTACGTATTTCTTCTGATGATCGTTGTTTAACCTCCCGTTCAATCATTTAGAAGGACTTGCACCAAGGAGATTCAGAAGAGAAATTAACCTCATAATTAATTCCGGTATAGAAGAAAAGGAATCGTAGTAATAATCGTGTAATTTAACAGAGAACGATCATTGCTTCTTGTAATTAATTCCCGGCGCTTCTCGCGAGTTGGCAAGTGCATTAAAAAAAGAAAGGGAAGCCTTAAGAAAATTCTGTGAAGCTTTCGTGCTTTAAATCTTAAGCCAGGACGGCAAATCGAAGCCGTTCCCATAGATTTTCTGAAAGTCAATGGAGGATAAAGGAGGGTAGCGTGTCTCCTTCGTAGGGGGTGTGTATCGGGGATCCGCACGTGCAGAGAGATACACGACGTTCCACGAACGATCGAACGATCCTTGACCATCGCGTGGACAATTTTCTACCCCTTTGTGCCGTCCCACCTACGGAAACTCCCTCGACAACGTCAATTTGCAAGGTCTTTGCACCACTTTTCGTTCTCTTCAAATATTTTCCCTTCAAATAAAACTCTACTACAGTCTTCCTATTTCACGTTCCCTCGTGAAATAGATGTTACGTTAGCACGGTCGTTCAATTACCTCGTTTTCACGTCTCTGTCCGACGGGTTTCATATGACCGAATCGATTTGTAGAATTTGTATCGTGTTCGTCAATCCCCATCCCCTGAAAACTTTCGCCCAATATTAACTTTCTTCTGGTCATTTGTTTCCTGATATCGTCATAGTTTCCAGGCGAGTCTTATTGTTAGTTCGTCAGAGAGGTAGTGTCGGAATCGGAGGTAGCACCGACGAGGACGCCGTTCGGGCCATTAAGAACGTGCGGCACAACCCGTATTGCTTCCTTCCGGAGGAGCCAGCGGGTCGTTGAATGCAGGCTTCCTACTCTTCAAAGTTTCCCGTGGGCGGCATACAATGTCCTTCCCGAATGAAGCGTATGTCGGTAAGTGAGCGCACGTACGCCTGCCAGAGGGACAATTGCAGCCGTGCACGCAATTTACTCCTCGGACCTGTTCTTCGCGACACGTGTTCCGTCCACCCTTCCCTGGCTTCGCACGCAAACTCAAACCGACAAGCGTGGAAATTGTCAGGGACGTGGCGTCTTGCCGCACCTCGCCCCGGCGAATTCACGTATAACGGAAGAGGCGTTCCGTCCCTCTTTTGTGAGACACCGTCCTCGCTCGAAGTAAATTACATTTATTGAAATAGATCATCCGTGTGTTTGTCCGAACACGTTGCCTGGTGACGTAAAGGGCACGTGGACAGGAGCTTCTGAACGAATGGCTAATAGAGGACCTGAGGAATCATTACTTTTCCAGAAATATCCAGCACCGACGGTCGGATATATCTATGTTTTTATACAAAAAGTCTCCAAGACTCTTCTCTTTTTTGTTTTCAAACTGCGAGAGGTCTAAGGGCACAGATGACTTCACATTCTGCGAGCTAAGGTCCCATGTTGTCGTAAGTTAGTTTCAGGGAAAATTGGTGACAATAAACGATGGTCACGACTTGTGAAGTTAAAATGAGATTTGTTCGTCGGATTCTGAAGGTGAACGTGATAGAACAAAGAATTAATTCGTTTTTTAGTCTCGTTAAAAATAATTTCAAGCTCTGTTTAAAGTCTGTCTCGACGGAGTAAGATAATTCCTATATTTCGTTAAAAACGTCTTTCTACTATCGATATTATTTGTAATTTCATTTACATTTTATTCACTATCGATGTATCGCGAAAAATATATTAAAACGAAATTGAAAAGGTGGGTGGGATGAAGTCGAGCGAAGGGAGAAATGAAACGAGTATTGAAACGGATGAAAAATCCTTTAAAATCGAATCGCTTCGATGCCTTCACGACGTGCGTTCGTCGGTTCGACACTGCATAAAATTGCACGGGAAGTCATCGACCCACGGGTTTATTGGATTTTATTTCATCGAATACGACAGAACGTGACATTCGTATCTTTCCTTCTGTTCCGCAATGTCGCGATCTCCTGTGAGCAGGCAACAGTGAGGACTCGTGCTACCGGGGAGAAGAAAGTGAAGAACTGCCGATGGAGAATTGAGTGGAAAACGAGGGTTCACGGACGGTGAGGTGGTGACGGACGATTTAACTCGTGGAAAGTTAAAAAGGGCAGCAATATCTTCCGCTTCGATGACCACTGAATTAATGGTCAGGAAACCTTCTCAAGTTCGCCATCAATTAATCCGTGCGTCCTCTCGTTTTTAATACATATTGTTAAAAAAATTAATATTTCCCATGATACGTTCGAATCATTGTTAGAAACGATTTGTGTGTAACAACTTGTTTCATGTATTTATAAATTTTTTATATTTTCCTACATTGAGAACCGTGGTACTTTATTTATAGAGAAGACTGCTATAGTGTTCACCCTTGATTATTGTTAGAAATGCTACATCGATACAAAGCATACCTCGAATAATTTGGGTAGCGTGTGGGAGGTCTTCCTCTGATTTAAATAGAAATTTCAGAATTCATTTGATTTGTTCCTTTAAATTTTCACTGTAATTGGCCACCCGGTTGGGTCGATCGATACAGTTACGTAGTAAAGTTTTCCTGCGGTTTTAACGGTGGTTACGCGGGCATCTTCCCGTTGGTACCATTACCGTGTCGTTACACGAACGCATCGTCGCACCGATTACTGTAAACCACGCTCGTTTTATTCCGACTTAATTGTAACGAAACGCTTTTATGTAACAGATGGAGATGATCCACGAATGCCGAACATAGCAGAAAATTTTAACGAGCGTGTCATCGCAGTAGAAAATCGATAGTACAATTTTTCTAAATCATTCTGTGAAATATTCGTGTCAAACGTTTGTCATAACAACGTTCTCTTGTCATTCTAACAATTTCTGTTATCATACTAATGATTCTTTTGAGAGTGTCTAAATATTTTTTTATGCGACTAGACGATACCGTTGTTGAATAAGAAAATGTTTTGAATAAGAATTGTACGTATTTGCCAAAGATGTTTTCATATCACGTGTATTCACCCTCCCATCAAAGAATTCTCCCCCTATGCATATCAGTTAATCGAATCAAAACAACAGTTCTTATCTAGGTTTTATGACAGAACAGTAAAAACGCGCAAAGCAATTTCATTACTGTAGAAAAATGTCTTGGAAAACAAATTGGTGCTTACGAAATGCCTTATCTTCTAAACTCTGTTATCAATTAACGAATCAGTTTCGTTGAGAACACATGAGAATACGTCGTGGTCTTTGAAGAGGAAGAAGAAACCTTATTTTTTAAATCGACATCAGAAATACTCGAATACAAGGAAAGAGTTCGGGTGAACTTTTCGTCGGTCGAGCCGGAAGAAAAGTTTCGCTCACCGAAGGGCGCAGCAGCAGGCGTGGCGTCGTACGAAGGGGTCGAAGTTCAAGGAACGTCTCGTGGTGAAAACTCGGTCCCTCCTCACTGGCACAGGTCTCACCCGAACCGATCCTCCCGTTCATAGAACATCCAATAAAAAGGATCCCACGAGCCTCGCCACCGGTGGACGAAGCGCACGACGATGGAATGCGTCGCGACGCCGCGTGCCGACTGAACCCGTCGTCGTTTTTCGTCTGGAGTGGCGCGGATGCGTCTCGCGCGGGGAGAGAGAACCGTGAACGCGCGTCTGCCGTCGACGCTCGACGTCGGTCCCCACCCGGGAACCTCACCCTACCCTGAGACCAGGCGCAGTCTTCTACTACCCCTACTTCGACTGGCGCGAATCCGTCCACGTGGTGCGCAATCGTCGACCACGACGACTCTCCAAACGCACTCTCTAGGCTCTACCTTACCTTTTTTTTTTTCACCTGTCCTCGACGAGGGTAGTTACAGGGCAGACGATCCTCGTGCGGATTTGGTCTGGGTTCCAATTTCGCCCCGTTTTCCCTCTGTACTGTAGAAGAGGAATGGAAACGAGGCGGGACGAGATGCAGACATTTGTGCGAATGGTGATCAGTGGAGGAATCTGGTGGACGCAAGGGTGCCAGTCCTTGTCAGAGGTTTAATGGCATGGAGTTGTACAAGGGTGGTTTCGGACGGTGGGAAGGGTGAAATGTATGCATTTGCGGTTTGGATCTCTTCGTTTCCATGTCGTGAATCGACGCCCGTCTACTTGAATTGGCCTTTAAATAATTTATAAAATCTATGAACTTTTCTAATTACACCGCACCTTTGTTCGTTAATTCATCAGTCGGCGCGATTGACAGTTTCGTGTAACAGAATCAATTTGGAGTAGCTGTTCCCCCACGATCGAATCATTACAGAAAGAGAAACCACCCTTTTCTAAGGGCGGTTGACCTTTCGTGGTCTTCTGAACACCGTCATCGATTACTTCTTACGAACACTAACTGGAATAGAAAGTTTGTGGGTCCCGTCGGATCTCGGGGCTCGACGTTGAAGCAGGTCGCGCCCTTCGTCGACGATGCAGCGACGATCGATCCGCGTGGCGCAACGAGGATAACGCTCGCGAGGACATCGTGTACAGAACGGGGGAGGAGACCGGTCGTAAATTCGGTGGACGCGGTTCACGGGCATCGGTGAAGGTCAAGTGCTTGGCCACGCGCTGCACCCAACGGTACCGACCTCCGGGTGCGGTGGACCCGACTGCTGGACCGACGAAACCTTCCGTGCAATTTCGCGAATGCCTCCGTGTAATTCGGTTGGATTGTCCGCGCGTGCGGAGTCGACGGTGCAAGTTCACGGACGAGTCCTCGCCAGGATATAATATCGCGAAGTTTTCTTGAAGGATTTACGAGAATGAAAAATTCCTCGTTCAGAAGGATTTCAGTTTGGACTCGAAAACGTGTACTCGATCGTTCAATACGTTGTTTCGAGTCGAATCACGAATCATCCGTTTCTCATTTCTCGTTTCAATCATACGAACGGACGATACAGAGATAAGCGTGCTAAACAAAAGGAATTAGATAGCAGCCAGGCTAATGCAGTTTCCGAGGTTGAATAATGCTCGTCCTTCAAACGTCACACCTCTGCACCTTCTATTCATTTTGTACGAGGGATCACGTACAAACAATGACCAAACGCCGTGCCGGGATGCACAGAGAGGTCCAATAAAAGCTGGACGAAACGATACGCGGGAGTTTTTTACCGTTCTCACGTGTTCCGTCCTTTCATCCCCATCCTATCAAATTAACTCCGCGAGGTCACCCTTTCGCCTCTTGGGGCGTGTTTCGAGAACAGCAGATGAATTTTGTAACATGAAATTCCGTGTCTGCAGTTAACGAAGGTAAACATCGAGTGTAAATATAAATCACACAATCGATGATAGAGATAAACTTGTATTGAAACTGAATTTATTTCCTGATCATCCAGTGCTTCTTGATATTTTTCGAAGGATTAAACGAAGGGTAATGATTAATTTCCTGCTGGTTCCTGGTTAGCAACGCATTGGTACGTTCAAGCGAACGCTGTTTACTCAGCGTTCGTACGGGCGAGGTTTTAATAATTCCATAAGGGGTCGTTTACTCTCGCGGAGGTGAACGCTCCCCTAGAAGAGCTCGCAGGTGTATTCGTCGGTTACGATCGATGTAACGAGCTGAAAGAGGGAAATTAGGGTACCTCTTTACGGGCCAATATACTGGGAACGTATGATGGCCAGAATTTATGTGAACTGCGCCAATGTTTTACGGTTGGTTGTACTTATCAGAAGAATAAGTGTCGGGGAAAGTAGGTTGTTGCCTCAGAGTTCCCTGAGAATGGAAGGTGATACGACATTAATAGCGCGATATCACGAAATTTTGCTACGTTTCAAACTGTATCTCAATTAGACGACCTGTTCTACGATACTATTACTTTATTGTTTAAAAAGTAATACAAGTATTTCGATGTACATTCGTATGAATCACCACGACCATAGAACCGATTAATTTTTAAGAACCAAACAATTTACGACTGTCGTTAAGATTTAAGAAACATTTTCATCACAGAGACAAGATTCCATCGTCGCACGATTAATTTCGCGATGTATGACCAATAACGTCGTTGCACGATCAATTTTGCGACTACGATTTGGTCGTATCCTCTCTCTTTTTGTCATCCTCTTCGTCCTCGGACTCCTCTTCGTCCATCGACATTTCCGTCCCGTCATCGTCCCTTTTATTCGCCGTTTTCTCCCCGTCGGACTGGTTCATCTGCTCGTTGCCGTCGTCTCTCTTAACGTTGTCCACATTCCTCCTCTTCTCACCCTTGTCGTCTTCGTACTCCTCGTTGTCGACCTCGACCACTTCCTCGTCGCCAGATCTGGTAAAGAATTACGGGGACGACCATGACGAGTTCAACGTTTAATAAAAAAAATATGAATCCTCGTTACACAACGTCGCATTCAGTCCTGTACACGTTGAATACAGATTAGAATTTCATGCATGTTTTCGAAGAGCTTACGCGTCGCGCCTTCTTCCGCGTCTCCTGCGCGATCGTCTTCGCCTCCTAGATCCGCTTCTCCTTCGCCTAGACCGTCTCCTCCTTCGGCGGGATCGACGCCTCCTCGCATCCTGCACCTCGTAATCCTCGAATCTGATCGGTGTGCGACGTGAGCTCCTGGCATCGTATTTCCGAACTTTGTAATTCGTGTCTTTCATCAGGTCGGAAGACACCCGTAGGACTCGGTACGCTGCGTCTTTCGGAATCAGGTAGCCAGATTCCACGCCGAAATCAATGGCTCTCTGGATGTACGTCTTCATTTTTCTTACACCTACGGGACGTTAAGTTGATCGTGAATTAAATAATAATGAAGATTGTGATGAATGTGCGTACGAAATGAATAATTGACGAGCGAAAGTGTCGCGATTTGTACTGTGTCTGTACTTGTATTATATTTATATTTGGAACGGTTTAATATTTAAACGCACACTTCCCTATATACGAAGTGGGTTAATTGTTGATTTAGGGACAAACAACATGATTATGCATATTGCATCGTTTGAATAAATTGCAGCGAGGCAAATCGGATTTAATAGATTTCCGCAGTGACAATAACGCGCGGTCCCATTAATTAATCGATGCGTAACGACGTAATTAAAATTGAAAGCATCTCCTTTTTTCACTATTATTCCAGAGAGCGCGCTCAAATAAATAATTAACATCACGTAATCGTCCTCAGGTACGGTTTACTGTACAATTACAAATGTATAACGTCCGCTTCGTTTACAGTGATCCTTGTACTATTTTTAATTTCTATTAGCACTTCTGAAATAAGCGAGTTCTGGCAAACTCGTTTCCTCCCAGAGGAGCCGCGCTATCAGAGGCACCAATGATCATTCGCTAACCTTCGCCTTTGGCGACCTTGTGCATGCAGGACGACAGGGACTGGTCTCTAGGGGTAGGTCGCCGCTTTGCGTGGTGCACCTTGGAATTCCTGGACGAGTCCTTCCGTTTGTTGGCCATTCTGTTGGTCGCGCGGGAATCCACGGAATCCAAAACTTCCTCGCGAGGAGCTTTCGCTCGGTTGCAGAACCGGCACCTGCCCGGCGATGCCAATGCACCCCTCCTGACGATACCCTCCTTACCCTTGCCGAGGTTCAGGTACTCGCACACTAGCTGCGAGATCTTCGGTTTACGACGCCCCGAGTCTGGAACGCAACCAGACTTTACTGCCCCGACCAGAGATTCTTTTTTTCTACCGAGTGCATTCGCGAGTTCGCCTGGGAATACGCGAATTTGAAACGATTGTCAGTCCGCAGGTTTGAACGACCGGTAACGAAGCGATTTGGGAAAACGTGTCCGGGAATGGTTAGTCAACGGATAAGTCGATTATTTTACTGGGAGTTTGTCGGTATTCCCCTGAGGATGAGGAAAAGTTCAAGGATGGAATATGGGATGCGATTTTTTTTTACTATTTTCTGCAGCGTTTCAACCTTCGAGAACTGTTAGAGAATCCCGATCGCAATTTCCTATGGAGAAGGTGTTATGCGGATGCGTTCAAGGCCTGCCAGAGTTCTTAGGAATTCAACTTTTACACGTTTTCAGGCGGCAGATAAACAAATGTTTATAGGCGCAGAGGAATTAAAATAAATTTTACCGGTTGACCGTATCACGTGGAATTTTTCAATGGACAAATAGGCGATCATTCCTTTTGCATTAGTCGACAAGTTTAAACGTTGCGAAGGGTACACAGTTATCGGAATTCGCAAGGGAAATTTTCAACGCAACTACGTCGTTTGTTGCAAATATTGAATGAAGCTTGACGTCGCGAATTTCCGAAGAAATCGAATGAAACGTGATCGTGGGAATACGGGAATAACGAGGGAGACGTGCCGTTTCTAAATGTAGATTACGAAAAAGGGTATTCCGGTTTTCTATTCAGGAAACGAATTCGATTGGCCGTTCTTATATCGAGGAGACACTCGGAGCCTAAACGTGTGAACGACTAAATTATACGTTTCGACGATTTCGCGGTGTCGGTCAATTAGAATGAAGATAAATAAAATTCTAAGAAGCGACACGACTTTTTTCGTATTCTTTCTCGAGATGATCACTCACTCATCTTAGGATGGCTTCGCGCATGAGGACGTCTCTTTATGGGGGCCATTTTTTTGCTTACTGGTTTATCATCGAACGCCGGGGCCGTCGTCGCTACGCAAGGATCTCGCCCGACTGCTCCCTCCTCTTCTCTTGGGTATTTGTTCGGTCGTGGTGCGAAATTTTGTCTGCGAATTTCCAGGACATTGATGGAAAAGAAGAGAGGCACGACCGGTGGTGCCGAATCCGTCGGTCCTTTCCGTTTTCTTGTCACGGTAAAACAACGAAACGAGCCGCACGGCTACGCGCTTTTCTTTTCGCGCGTCGTAAAGCAGGCGCTGTCTATCAATTTACAAACACGCAATGCGTCGGATGAAATTTCAATCGATATTGTTCAAAGTGCAGAGCGTAGCCAACAGTACCCGGCATCTTGACATTTAGAAACTCATTGCCACGGTTCTCAGAACTTTTCAATTCGTTTTACTCTTTACATTCAATCAAGTAGTTTACGACGTGAAATGAAATACTTCCGGAAGGTATACGTCAATTACTAATAAAAAGTCCAGGCTTAAATTCTATTTTGTCTTCGTCGTTTAATAAAAATCACTTCGCTTTATTGTATCTCATTAATTTTTATCACAATTTTAAATGCATCAAAAACGTACAAGCATCGTATAAAGACATGATATAGAACGAATCAAGTCATGTTCCCGATCGTGTTGCTCTCTTCATTCTCGTCCGGTGCCTCTAATTTCTCCTCGACTTGTCTCATCGAATTTCCAGGGTTCGCCACGTTATTGGAATTCCGTAAACTCTCGCGACTCGTCGTCGATTTTCGTCGCCCTATCGATAACGTTGCCTCGTTCATTCCGACGTTGGTGAACCTCTGATCGGTCTTCTCTTCGTCGCTGGAGTTCGTGCGAATTCTCCGATGATCTTCGGCTTCTCGTCTCTTTGGGTGAGGCGACCTGGCCCTTCGCAGTCGCCGCTCGGTCGACCCGCGCGTGTTTTGCTGTAGCCTCGTCCTCCTCAGACTCTCCTCGCTCGTATTCGCTGACACGTTCTCGTTCATCGACGTGGACGGCAACAAGTCGCTTCTAAATTTGTTTCCAGTCACCAAACGACGAAACGACTTTCATGAACCACACAAGGAAAAAGGAGACTGTATACATATAAATAACAAATAATGACAGGAACCTTTTTTTCGTCTTCGTCGTTCGCTTCTCCTCGGTTTTATCTCTGGGCTTCCTCTTGGTGACTCTTTTCTTCTTGGGCGAACCAGATCTCTTCACATCCTCGAGCTTTCTTCGTTTCCGCGGTAGGGTTTCCGGTTTTGGTACTTCCTCGCGCCGCGGTTGCTTCTTCGCGTTCCACGGCGGCGTCGTCTTACGCTTTTCAGTCTTCGTCTCGACGGATCCGTCCTCTCCCCTTCGGGCTCTCCTCCGCTTTCTCCGAGACTCGGCGTCGGTCTTCCTCGCATCGATCAGCGTCGGCGATACGCGGATCACCTGTCCCCGGGGATCAGCCGGGATCAGGTAGCCGGACTTCACACCGAAGGACAACGCCTTGCGGATGTACTTCTTCGCTCGACGTTTCCCTAAAGTTCATTTACAAATCTTTCTCGTTTAATCGAATTTCATATCTCAATGTCACACCTTCTCGCGTTTTAATTCGATCAGTTTTATCCAATCGAAGAATTTGTGGAAACAGTTGTCACGAACGAACTTACGAAACATAAAGAACTACGTAATACCTTCTTCGATGCCAGCTTTTATGTAATTATTGATGACTTGGACCAGAGATTTCCTCTTCAACAAGGCTCTGGTGTTGTCCATAGTCTTGGCCAAAGCGATCGGTTCCACGGACATGTTCGACACGCTGCTGTTCTCGGAACTGCTCGCCCTGGAACTGTCTCTGGCTTTCATGAAACTGGGCAGACACTCCACGGACGTCGCCGCGGATTTCGTGTACTCGGAACCCTGGACAGACGGGGAGCTGTCGCGGAACGGCGAGCTGTCGTAAGAGGATTCCCGTCGATGTTTCAGGTGAAACCTGCCGTCTCTGGAAGAAATTCTACTCCTCTTCTTTCGTTCTAAAACAGCCAATCAAACATGATCGATTCATCGATTTGAATCTGTGCTGAAATACCGTAAAGATCTTCGAGTCGTATTTTCGTGGTTATTAAAGTATTTTATAAAACCAATTCATTTAATTGTTGATTCTCTTTGACGAAGTACCTTGGTTATGTTTATCGACGTTTAACATTCGATAGAGGATTTGTCTGACGTTGACCGGCTTACGGATCGGCCGTCGAACGATCGTTTGACGTCGTCGATGGGAGCAGCACGGCTCTGTTCCTCGTCCTTTCCGGAGACGACCTTTCAGCTTTCTCGTCGGTGATGCCATTATTCGGTAATGGCATTTCCCTCGTCCCCCTTCGCGGCCAATTCTTCCCGTTGAAACAGCGATGTCGAAATTACCGCTTGTTTTCTGTCTATCCCGTGATCAGCAGCAACGTCACAGTAATCGTAAAACAGAAAATCATAGAAATCCCTCTCCCATACAATTGGAACGGATCTCATCGTCGATCGTCACGATCTTTTATACGGTGCATCTTCGATTTGTTACTGGCGCGTAGGTCATCCGATAAGAACTCGACGAAATGATGGAATCGAACTTGGGCGACCGAATCTCTGTTAACAGGTGTTGCCGAAGTTACCGGGTGTTCCCTTTATCGAGAAACGAGAGCTTCCGATTTATCGCTGTTTGATCGTTGTTCGAGGAGTTCGTCTTTTTCGGTCAGTTTCGTATCGATCGGTCGTTCGCCGGACGTACAAACTTCTCGGCTCGTCCTTGACTTTGCGAACCGTGGATACTACGATGCGGAACCATCGGTTTCAAACGGATTACGACGAACGCTTTCTGAGAACTTTCTCAATGGTATCTGTGCCTGGTCAATGTAGTTCAAGCTTTTCACAGCAGATTTCATCGAACCGACCGATTCATTAGTTTCGCTAGATTTCACGTCGTTCGATCAACGCAGAAACATTGTATTTAAAAGTCGTTAAAATGTTCTTCAACTTCTTCGCCTTGAAAAAATTATCGTGGTGGAACCGTTCGCGTGATCCCAGGAGGTTTTCGTCATGTCTGTCGACATTTCGTACCGACTCTCCCAGCGCAAAAATTATTTTTGGTAGCCGTATCTTTGCGTGAACGTGAACTTTGGAGGACGGACGGCGATACTCGCGAAAGCAATGTCCCGAGGTAATGGTTGCTGCTCGAGGACGACGTCGTAAACCCGTGGCTGCAGGTGAACGGGCAGAGAGAAAAGAAGAAACTCTCCCTAGAGGCTCTTCCCACACTGGGGGGTATTAAAAAGGGATCCTAGCGTTCCTCCTCTCTCTTAAGAAGAGCTCGTGGAAAATAGGTCGAGCGTCCACGGATCCTACGTCGTTAACCGTTGATTTCGTACATGCGTTACCACGGATCGTTCGTCGTTAGAACGTGCTTCTATTTTAGATTATACGAAAGTGAAATTAATCTGGATAAGCGGTCGTCGCCAGTTTACTACATGGAAGCGGAGTCGGGCGTAATAGGAATCAGGGAAAGTTAGAAGTTCTAAATGATTCGAATGATCTATTCGTATGTGACGAAGAATATTATATTTAAACTTCTTCATTTGCTACGTTCGACTTGAAAAACCGACTTCACTTCTGATCGACAGGAATTAAAAACTGTCGAGGAAAAAGATTCATTTATTCAAGATCAATTTTTTTTCTTCCATTCAATTTTTCACGCGTCCGTGAAGAACGAGGCGATCACCGTTACGATTGACATTGAACGTTCATCGAACGACGCGCTCACTGAGCCATCGATAGCGATCCCATTCACGGAATCTCTTTGCTACGAGATCCGAGTGAATCCGGGGTTAATTCACGACTCGCACCCTGCCAAACGCGTCGATTTCTCACGGGACGTTCAGAGACAGAGACCATCGATGCCCATGTACATGCGATTTCGAGCGAGGTTCGAGCGTGATTATATAGATTCGAAGATTGTAGAATCGAGATTATAGAATTGAAGAGTCAATTTAATGTATGTCGCCTAAATTCTGATTAATAAATGAATGGACACAAATCTTTATTTTAAGAATCTCTCTACCTCAAATTGTAAAATATTGTGAAGTATGTTGGTCTATCAGTACAATGTGCTAT